TGGTCGACATTCTGAAAATGTGCTTACATTTTGCAAACCATAATTATATTAAGAAAAACCAGCACGGAAAACCTTGCGATACCAGTGAGGATCCCACTTGAATCAAAGGACAAGGTTGAAAAATCTGTTGCCCTATTACCGTCGAACAGGACTCAGAACCAATAATCAGATGAGAATTTGAGTTTAAAGGCCCTACTGCTTATACAATTTTTCGGGATTTTATTCATCCTGCCTTACGACTTTTAAATCTTCCTAACTTCCAAAAATTCTCTAATTACCAGATAAGAGCAGGTGATTACGAAAAATTTGCTCACCAAGCCAAATTACCCTGGAACAAAGAAATAAATAAATATGCTCTTGGGGAAGAAGCCGGAGAGAGTATTAAAAGTCCGGCCTGACGAGCCAATATTCCCTTAGAATTAATTTATAACTTTGTCTATTTAAAAGAAATTCGGGCAAAAATTTCTTCTTCTAGTTTTTCGTCAACATTAAGCAGCGAGGATGCGATGGCTCGTTATGCTGATTATTAAATTAACTTTGAATTACTATTTGAAATTATTAAAAGAAATTAATTTTAGACTTCCGTAATTTCTAAATCTTTATTAAACTCATTAAAAAAGAGTCAAAAATTATTCTCCTCTTTATCTGGTTTTCCATAGCGAACAGTAAATTGCTTTTTCTCTTGTAATTTTCTTTCTCTTAATAATCGCTTGATTTCAGGATGGTTTTCGCTAACATAAATAACTCTCCAATCTTTACGATTGACACCCTTAATATCTTAATTTCCACCAAGTTGTCACACTTGTCTAAATCAATATCATTTAATAATTTTTGTCCTCTTCTTTCATTAATAATCAATTTTTCTAGATTTGGATATTCATTCAATTTTAAATGTTCTTCTTTAGTTTGGAAAGTTCTAAACTCAACACTTTTTTCATGTTTTATGATTATAATTTCCCCATCTTTTAGTCCATCCTCTTCTTTTGAGTAACTTATCTTTAACTCATTTAATTTATTAAAAATTTTCCCTATTTTCGAGACAAAACTGTCATTAAATACTTCGAAAACTTTACAACTAAACCTTTCAATACTGTCAGGCAAATATTCTAAACCAAGATTAATATCAGCATTATCATCAATATATAAATCTTTCAATTCATTCAAACTTTTTAAATACTCTAAGGAACCAGTAAAACGATTTTTTTTTAGGTTTAAAAGATTCAAATTAACGTATTCCCTGAAAATTGCTAAATCTCCTGAAAAATTATTATTGAACAAGACAATTGAATTCAATTTTTCTTTGTTAGAAGGCAAGCAAAAAACACTCTCTTCTAACTTATTGCTATAACAATTTAAATTTTTAAGTTCTAAATTTTTACTCAAATCAAGAGTAGTTAGTTCATTAGTTGAACAATCAAGAGTAATTAATTTGGAACAATTACTGATGACCAAACTAGTTAATTGATTATCATAACAATATAATTCTTCAAGTTTGGTAAAATCACTTAAATCTAAATGACCTTCTAATTCCCTATTATTGAGTTCTAATTTAGTTATACTTTCTCTTTCTTCTTTGGGGTAATTTGAGTTTAAATATTCTTGGGCATTTACCATATTTTTTATTTTAAAATAACAAGTGATGTATTAACTTGAATTGACTAAGTAGTAATTTTAGCAAACAAACTTAAACTTGTAAAACCTTTTTATATATGTCTTATGACTTGATTATTATTGGAGCCGGACCAGCTGGATTAACTGCTGGAATTTATGCTAAAAGAGCCCTCTTGAAATGCCTAATTTTGGAAAAATCTTTGTCAGGCGGGAAATTAAATAAAACAGCTGATGTTGATAATTATCCGGGCTTTACCTCGATTAAAGGACCTGAATTGGCTGAGGAAATGACCAAACATGCCAATCATTATAAAATTGATTGGAAAAAAGAGGAAGAAGTGGTAAAATTAGAGCAAAAAGAAAACAAATTTATTGTAAAGACAAACAAAAGCAGTACTTTTATCAGCAAAACAATCATTATTGCCTCAGGGGCAATTGAAAATGAATTAAAGATTAAAGGTGAAAGGGAGTTCACGAATTTAGGAGTTTCCTATTGTGCAATTTGTGATGGCTTTGCTTTTCAGGGCGAGAAGGTAGCAGTAGTGGGTGGTGGTTATTCCGCTTTGGAAACAGCCCTTTATATGAGTAATATTGCCAGTCAAGTTTATCTCATCCATCGGCGCAGTGAATTTCGAGCCGAGAAAGAAATAGTAGCCAAAGCTAAAAATAATCCCAAAATAACCTTTCTCCTAGACTCTATCCTAACCGAAATTCAAGGAGATGAGGAAGTAAAAAAAGTAATTATCAATAATTTAACTGATAAGCAAAAAAGTGAGCTTTCTGTGAGTGCCGTCTTTCCCTGCATTGGTCTCTTGCCATTTAGCAATTTTGCCCATGAATTAGGTGTTTGTGATTCAGAAAATTATATCGCTATTAAAGACGATTGCTCGACTGCTGTTCCAGGTTTATTTGCCGCTGGCGATGTAGCCAGAATAAACAAAGACAAAATTAAACAAGTTGTCACAGCCGTAGCGGAAGGAGCCATCGCTGCCCAATCAGTAATTAAGTATTTAGAGAAAATATAGGTCAGATTATTTTTCTCTCAGTTTTCTCGTCTTGATAAACTTCACTGAATCTTTCCTTTTGACAAAGTAATAACAATAAATTTTATTATAAAAAATAATTATTGTCTTTATTTTGCAACTGGAAAATCTTACTAATTTATTCACTGACTCGGCTAGTTCTGGTAAATTAATTAATTTTTCCATTACTGACTTTGGTGAGAAAATTCAAAAGGCTAAAATCTCGTTTGGTCAAGTCCCCTTAGGTATTTATCGAAAAGGACCGAAAAAGAAGCGAAAACCCATTTTTCACGATGAAGAAAAGGAAAAAGAGTTACACCAATTGGCTATTAATTTAACTCAAAAA